TCTCTCGGATACGAGGCATGAGGAAGCTGAGCCCTCCGCAGAAGAAGAGTGTATGATCCTGGTCCAAGGCGGAGTTTTCCTGGCAGTGAAGAAGGCGCATGGGATTTGTACTAAAAGATGACATTTACTATATAATATATGTCCTTTTGAACACTTTTCTTTTTTTTTTTTTTTTTTTTTTTGTGGGTGGGGGTAAGGATTGTATTAGACAGTTATTTCAGAGTGTTCCTTTTCTGTTTTTAAAGGTTTTTGTTAGTGCTCTATTTTAATAGTAAAGATATCACAACTCTGGTTGCGGCTCAACCAAGGGTCTTTAAATGTGGACATCAGGCTGAGCTATGTCAAGCAACACTTTCTGCAAAGAATTGGCTGTGTAAGGGCCTTGCTATATACAGGGAAGATGGTTGTCTGAGGGCTGGTTTGGTAATACCTTTTTTCTTACGTAGTACCTTTGACTCCGATGTTACATTTCTTGTATATATTTGGATACATCTAAGTTAAACCTTAGAGGTGAGTTTTATTTCACATCGATAGTAAATCTGTGGTTGTCTTTTCATTGAAGTTCACAGCACACTCATGTTTTCAAGAGGCCACTGGGCATTCTTCATGGCATGCTGTTGACCTTCAAAATTCACTTGAGGAACCAAAGTGAATAAATACCGTGTGTCTGTTGTTTTGATGAGGTACACGACAAAACAGACAAGTTGGTCAAGGGCTGAATTCATGGACTTCATATTATTTCATTGAGTGGAATGCTTAGCCAGGTCACGTACTTATTGCCTCATTCATGGTATTTTAAATGTTTATGGACCCTTCATTTGAAGAACTCATGGGATTCCTAGAAAGATGCCCATGCTCTCTGACTGGGGTTTTGTAGTAGGAAAAGGAAGCATTGTATATATAGCATCTAATTCTCGGCTTTCCACCAAATACTATGTAGTCTCTCTCCATGAAAGCAGGTCCAAAGGAAGTCTGCAGATTAAGAACCTTTCTCCTTAGAAGAAGATCCTGGTTGCTCATGTACTTGGGCAGTATCAGACCAGAGAGAGGTGAACTTAGTGTTGGAGCAGGTGTGGAAGTGGGCACAGAACACCCAAACAAGAAAGCCTCACCATCTCTGAAGATGATTGATTAACTGGAGCATTCGCTGGTTTTGATGCCTGAGATCTCATTTCTGGCTCCTGTCAGTGGGATGTGGGAGGACTCTGGAGGTTCCAACAGGCGCTTAATTGCACTCCGATGTTCCCTGGCTTGGAGCAGGCCTACGCGCCTGCCCTGCCATTTCAGCTACTTAACCAGCTCCTTGGCGAAGGATCAAAGCTCAGATGGGATATGGGTGGAGTGAAAGGTCAGATAGAAACCCCTTTGTTCCCTCAGGAGGCCTGTGTCTCCCCACACAAACCCCCACCTTCCGGGGAATGTCTCCAGGCGGCCCTGTCCTAGAGGATGGGGTCAGGCATTTTATATCAAGGGTGCTCTGGACATATTTTATTTTTTAAAAGAACTATGTTTGTGAATTTTACGTATACTGGCAAGCTTTTGAAAATGTATTTAATTTTGTAATGTTTACCAATGATTTCTTTACAAGCTATTTACTCAAATAAACGGAGCTGCTTACAACTCTGCTTCCTCAGACACCTTCCAAAACACAGAAACGTTAGGATTGTACTCTGTCGTGGTGTTTGTCCTTGAGAGCGCCCAGCACTTGTCTCCAGCGTCTCATGTTCAAGGTGATTTTGGTTTGTCATTCGGGTCCTCTCCTGAGGCTTCTTTAGATCAGGTGGTGGGAACAAAGGGCTGTGGTACATTCCGAGGCTAAGAAGGAAGGAAGACAATGAACTCGTGTGTCCACAACCCTGCCCAACTTCTACCCCAATTTAATAAAACTTGCTTTTATTGATCTAATGTAACTCCTCCAGGTGGCTTCAGATGACTCGAACATTCCAGTTTTGGGGGAATGCTGTACCCATGGAAATACAGAAAAGCATAGAATTTGCAGGATGTCTGCTAGGTTTGACTAGCCCAGGTTATGGTCTTCAAATGAAGAAGTAAGAATTAACTTTTCCTTCAAAGTGTGCCACCATGGAGCACACACTCCCTGCCTGCCTTCCCTTTCCAGGGTCTGAGGTCACCACCACTGGGATCCCCCAAGAGCTCAAGATAGATGCCAGGGTTGCACGCTTGACTCACTTTCCCCCACCCCTACCCCCCACACATCCCCAACCACCTAGCTCTTCCTCTGCAACTACCTCATAAACCTGCTGTATGTTATGTTGTTATGTGCCGTCTAGTCGGTTCCGACCCATAGCGACCCTGAACAGGGTTTCCGAGGCTGTAAATCTTTATGGGAGCAGAAAGCCTCATCTTTCTCCCACAGAGCACCTGGTAGTTTCGAAGTGCTGACCTTGCGATTCGCAGCCCAATTCGTAACCACTACGCTACGATGTTATATGGTCTCTCAATTCCCCTGTCTGTACATTGTTCTCTTTTTCACCATTGGCTCCCTCAGATGCAGTAGCCACATGATCTTTCTGGAAGGTCTATGTGATCCCCCTCTGCTTAAAGTTCATATCTTACAAGGAAATCCCAATCTCTCCCCCCTCAGGATTTGTTACTAATGTTGGTAAGTGCCATTGAGTCAGTTCCAACTGAGAACGACCTGCTGCACAGAGAACACAACACTGCACAATCCTGTACCGTCCTCACACTTGTTCTATTTGAGTCCTTTGTTGCTGCCACTGTCTCAGTCCGTCTCATTAGGGGTCTTCCATTTTTTTGCTGACATTCCCCCACCCCCATTTTACCAAGCAACATGTCTTTCTTAGGAACTGATCCCTCCTGACAACATGTGCAAACAATGAAAGATGAAGTCACTTCTAAGGAGCACTCTGGCTGCACTGCTTTCAAGACAGGTTTGTTTGTTCTTCTGGCAGTCCATGGAACTTTCGATAATTTTTGCTAAGACCATGATCCAATGCATTTATTCTTCTACCGTCTTTATTACACATTGTCCAACTTTCACATACATACGAGGCAATTGAACAGTCCATGACTTGGGTCAGGTGCACCTTAATCCTCAAAGTGACATCTTTATTATTTGACACTTTAAAATGTTCTTTGGCAGCCGTTTTGCCTAATGCAATATATCATTTGATTTCTTAACTGATGCTTCTATGAGTGTTGATGGTGGAGCCAAGCAAAATGAAGTCTTTGGTAACTTCAGTCTTTTGTCCATCTATCATCATGTTAATTATTTGTCCTGCTGTGAGGATTTTTATTGTACATTGAGGTACAATCCATATTGAAAACTGTGGACTTGGATCTTCATTAGAAAGTGTTTCAAATCCTCTTAGCTTTCAGAAATCAAGGTTGTATCATCTGCATATCACAGATTGTTAATGACTCTTTCTCCAACCCTGATGCCACGTTCTTCATATAATCCATCTTCTCAGATTATTTGTTCAGCATATACAGTCTGAATAAATATGGTGAAAGATACAACCCTAGCACATACCTTTCCTGATTTGAAACCATTCAATATCCTTTGTTCCAACAACTGCCTCTTGGTGTATGTACAGGTTGCTCATGAGCACAACTAAGTGTTCTGGAACATCTACTCTGCAATGCTATTCATAGCTTGTCATGATCCATACAGTCAAATGCCTTTGCAAAATCAATAAAGCACAAGTAAACAGCTTTCTGGTATTCTTTGCTTTCAGCCAAGATCCATTTGGTGTCAGCACTGATATTCCTCCTTCTACATCCTCTTCTGAATCCAACTTGAATTTCTGGCAGCTCCATTGATGTACTACTGCAGCTGCTTTTGAATTGTTTTCAACAAAATTTTACTTGCATATGATACTAATGATGATTTCTGCATTTAGTTGGGTCATCTTTATGTGTAATGGGCACAAATATGGATCTCTTCCAATCAGTTGGCCAAGTAACTGTCTTCCAAATTTCATGGCATAGACCAGTTAGGCCCCAATGCAAGTGATATTGCTTAAGTTCCTGGAGCCTTGTTTTTCACCAATGCCTTCAGTGCAGATTGGATTTCTTCCTACAGTACCATCGGTTCGTGATTATATGCCACCTCTTGAAATGGTTGCGTATCGGTCAATTCTTTTTGGTACAGTCGTTGTGTATTCCTGCCATATCATTCTTTTTATTTTTTATTTTTTAAGTTTTTATTGTGAATTATGTGGGTTTACATGGGAGAACATCAGCTTTACATTCATCCTATCATATTTCATTTCATTGCAATGATTACAATCCCCATCATGCATCATCATTCAACCAAAGGGTACACCCCACAGGCCTTCATCCCGGCTGTCAGCACATAGCCCCTCTCCCTCCCTGAGTCCAGTATCCCCAGACACTCCATCTGTCCACGTCATCATCTCTATCTCCATTTCTGGCGTTACTGCTTCTCTGGGTAGGGTACCACACTCCGCTCTTCTCACTTGATGGTCCCAGGGACCTCTGCCCCTGGACTGTAAAATCAATCACTCCCCTCCTTTTGTTACAAAACATCCACCATTACATTTCTGACACTCACAGTCAGTCCTGATAGCAATTATGCTCTACTGTACCACAAGAGTCTTATCCCCATCTCCTTTCATTAGCTTATCCCCATCTCCTTTCATTAGCTCCGTCCCAACAGATTAGAAACCATTCAGTGGAGATTCTACCTTCCCCTACCCCATCTGGAACTAGGCTCCCTCTTGAAAGCTTGTAAGCCAGTCAGTCATTTCTTGCCTTTGTAGCCCTCACCCCATTTTGGGTAGCCAGTGTCTAAATTATCCATCCCTGTCAACCCGGTGTACTGAGGGGGTGGG